TATATATATATATATCTATTATTAGTTATATATCTTATTCAATATTATTTTTATACATACCAAACTATGATATTAGCTATACCTTGATTTTTAATACATGAATAATCATGTATAAAGATGTAATTGTTTTTTCAAAACCTTTTTCAAATTCTTTCTAACGTTTTTTGAGGGTATCTTTGTAAACAAATAATTTTTAAAAAATAATAATGTGATGCATGTTATTTTTAATACATCAAACCAAACACTCGATAAGAAATAATCCCAACATACCTAATCCAGCACTACTTATACGTTATATTCAATACTATTCTTATATACCCTAACAAACGACCCTTAGTGTAACTCTATTTCACTTATAACCTATTTGGCCAAGGTTCTTTTTGCCCCATTTTTTTTTTTTTTTTTTTTACCAAAAGTGTATTTTTCAAAGTTAAGGTATTTGACCAAGCTTTTAGAATTTTTTTTTTTTTTTTGATTAGAAGTACAAATAACTTTTGATAGGTAGAAAAAATATTTTATTTTCAAACGTACTTTTCTAAAAATCACTTTTGAGAAAAATACAATTAAAATTACTTTTGAAAAATTGGCAAAATACTAATTGCTTCTTAAAATTGCTTGTAAAATTAATTAGCCAAACACAAACTGTTTTTTTACCAAAATAAATTTATTTTTGTAACTTCATACATTATTCATGTGTATTTTTGTTTTTTATTTTGAGGGGGGAGGAACCTGCATACCAATTGTAATTTGATATACCAATGGAGCCCACTTTTACCTATTAAAAGTTCAACTCACATATCATGCTAAGCATTCAAATCAAACTAAACAAACATGAAAGAGTTGTATGTGCTTCAATTTTTGTCGACTATATCACAACATTTTTATTTCATAACATACTTTTTCTGGTTTACCTATATAGTTTCATCTTGCTGCTCAAAGGATGATATCTGGTTTACCTATGTAGGTCACTTCAGAATGGGCTAAAAGATTTGCGGCCATATGCACTGGACTAAGTGGGCGTTTGGACGTAAGAACTGTAAAATTTCAAAAAAATGTGAAAATGGTATTTGAAATTTAGAGTTGTGTTTGGACATGAATGTAATTTTGGGCTGTTTTTGAAGTTTTGTGAATAATTTGAGTGAAAATTTTGAAAAACAGTTTTTTGGAGTTTTTCAAATTTTTGAAAATTTACAAAATGCATTTTCAAGTGAAAATTGAAAATTTTATGAACAAACGTTTATTTCGGAAAAAAGTGAAAATATTTTAAAAAAAAGAAAAAAAATTCTTATGTCCAAACGGGCTCTAAAAAAGAGGTAATCCCTTTTCTATTCAAGAAAATGAAAAGAATGAAATGATGCTAAAACATGAAGCAAAAAATGAAATGAAAAATTCTTTCATCTATCTTCCTTTTGTGGGTTATGAACCTACATCAGTCTATATTTTTTTTGTTTTCATTAGGTACCCTTACCAAATAGTTCAAATTACACGTCAAGATTTGGAAGGAGAAGGCCTAGAAACCTGTTGTATTCAACAACTAATCTAAGATATAATATCACTTTAGAATCAATCCCAAATGAAGTGGGGGATTTGCATATATACCCATTTTTGGGCCACAATTAAATTTATATCCGTATTGCACAAAATTTTGTAAAGTGTACCCGCTCGGATCTGAAACAGTTCAATCTTTCCAATGCAATGTGAGAAATCAAGTCAATCTTTCCAATTTATGACAATATTCTGAAGGATAACTTTCAGTTACTCAGTAGCATAAAGTACCACTTTAGCATCAGTACCATATGAATATGGGAATAGTTACTCTATAATAGTATTTCATTCTCAAGAATAAAGCACATCCAAAAAAAGATAAAATAGCAGACCTTATATTGCTGAGGACAGAACATACTTACATTCCTCTACTTTACATAAAAAAACACTCTATTGAAATCAACTGAAAATAACAAAGATACTTTACAATATACTTATGCTTCAGAGTTATCTAATCATGTCTAAATATTGGCCTTTGGCCTTCTAGTTAAAGAGCATTATTACCCTTGTTTCTTCAATCCAGAGAGCTGTTTTAGCGCTTCTTCCATTGATGGCCGATCTGAGGGTCTATTTCTGGTGCAAAGCGAAGCGACTTCAAGAACCAATTTTATTTCCTCTTGGACCGAGTTCGATGGAGCAACATCATTCTCATACAAAACCTCTCTCAAAAGAGCCTCTTTGGAGGTATTCTGTAGGCTCGTCGCTGCATTTGACAGCTTTCCGTTTGTTAAGATTTCAAGAATGACCTCACCAAAGTTGTATATGTCCCTGTAAAGTTCTTCCTTTATAGCTCGGTCAATTTCACCTGTTCGATACAATTAAACACGATTTACAACAAGAATACAGGCTAATAACTTATGTCATCATTCAAATTAAGATCATTAAACACTTTTTATGGTAAATAAAGGGCAACCCGGTGCACTAAGCTCCCGCTATGCACGGGTCCGGAAAAGGGCCGGACCACAAGGGTATATTGTACGTAGCCTTACCTTGCATTTCTGCAAGAGGCTATTTCCATGGTTCGAACCCGTGACCTGCTGATCACATGACAACAACTTTTCCAATTACGCCAAGGCTCCTCTTCGCTTTTCAACAAAAAAAGCTTATGGTAACTACTTAACAAAAACATTTACTGCAGACGGCATCTTCTAATAGAAAGTATAAGTGCATACCTGTTTCATTTCCAGCTCTTGCTAGAAATGGACCATTATTTAGCTGATTCAAGAATGTAACACCGAACTCGGTCAAATGTGGTTCCATGTTTTCATCAAAGACAATGTTATTTGCCTTTAAATCCCCATGAGGGATCGCAGGGTAGCAATTGTGATGCAGGAAACACAATCCCCTAGCAATTCCCACAATGGTTTTATACTTGGTCGCCCAATCTCTCTTCGTTCGGATCCTTTCGACCAAATTTCCATTAGGCAAGTAATCATACAACAAGTAAGCCATTTGCTTGTTGTAGCAAAATCCTAGCAATCTTGTCAAATTCTTGTGCCTTGCGCTGCCCATCCTCGATATCAAGTCCAACATAGCATTCATTCTTTCGGGTCTCCATTCGATCTTCTTCACCAAAACGGTAATTCCTGTTGGCAGAACAGCTTTGCAATCAGAACCTGCCAACGGCGGCACCAAATCTGTAACTTCTTCAACAGAACTGAAGCTCCTCAAAACATCATTCGCTGTAAACCGAGGAAGTCCACTAAAAGAAACCATTTTCCACTTCCCTTTACCTCGTCTTCTGAAGTGAAGCACGCCAAAAACAGCAGCTGTAATAGCCAATACTACGACTCCACAAGTTATAAGAACCCAAGCCAACTTCTGTGTCCTTCTACTTCCTAACTCTAGTCCATTCGGTCCGTGGCGACAAGGCCTCAACGGTTCCCCACAAAGCTTAGGATTACCCCAAAAGGCACTACTATCCATCACCTTAAAACTCTTCTCAATTGGGATCGAACCCGATAGATTATTGAACGACACATTAAGAAGTTTTAAGCTAGAAGAGCTTCCAAACTTAGCAGGAATTGAACCGCTAAAACCATTGTGTGACAAGTCTACAACACTAATACTAGGAAGACTAGCAAGTTCAACAGGTATATGACCAGTTAAGTCATTGTTGGCCAAATCTATACTCACAAGACTTTGGCAATTGCTGATACTTTGTGGCATAATACCTGAAACATTGTTCATACTCAACTCGAGAACGAGTAAAGATTTGCATGGTCCAAAAGGAGGAAAATCTCCTGAAATACTACAATTAGTAGCTGAGAAATTCTGTAGTGACAAAGACAATGCCTTTTCTGGTATTATACCTCCAAGATTTGGATTATTAGACACATTGAAGTATTGAAGCTTTGAAACTAAGGCAATATTAGCAGGAATCCCTCCACTAAACCTATTTCTAGACATATCAACATATGACAAATCAGGAAAATTGCCAAAGTTCAAGGAAATATCACCTGAGAATGAATTATCTTCGATTCGGATTCGAACAAGAGAGGAACAATTGGACAATGATGGAGAAACTCCACCACTGAAATTGTTAGAAAAAAGGATCAATTTTAGTAAAACCCCATTTGAACATATATCTGGTGGAATGTTACCAACAAAATAGTTTGTTGAAACATCTAAATATTTCAACTTTGAATACTTTCCTAAGTCTTTTGGTAGTGACCCTGAAAAGAAATTGTCCCAAATAAGAAGAGTATCAAGCAATGGAAGCTTAGCAATACCTTTAGGAATAGTTCCACTCAAGTCATTATACATAACACTAAGAAGTTTTAGATTTTTCAACTCAGAAAAACTCTCAGGAATAGACCCTAAAAGCAAATTATCAGAAAGATCCAAACTTGATAAAGATATGATTTTTCCAAACTCAAATGGGATTTTTCCATTAAGTTGATTTCTGAACAAGAAAAGTGATTCAAGATTTGTCAAATTACTTAGCTCTTTTGGTATTGAACCAGATAAATTTGCACCAGCAATATCAAGATACTGAAGCTTACTCATATTCCCTAATTCCCAAGGAATACTTCCTTCATATGTATTATAACCAATTTCCATATGAGTAACTGTTTTCAACATTCCTAATTCTGATGGTATTTTACCACTTAGTGAATTTCCAGCTAAGTGAATAAAATCAAGATTCTTGAATGAACCAAATTCAGAAGGGATTTGACCACTGAAATAACTACCTGCAAAATTCAGTACTTTGAGTGACTCAATTTGTGAAACATCTTTAGGTAAAGGACCTGAGAAACTGTTACTAAAAGCATCAAGAATCACTAGATTAACAAGATTTGATATTCCACTAGGAAAATGACCAGAAAAATTGTTTCTACTTATATCCAAACTTTTCAGCTTTGTGAGGTTGAAAATCCCAACAGGAAGTTTCTCAGAAAATGAGTTGTGACTCAAATTCAGATCAACAAGGTCAGTAAAATGATTGAATTGACCTTCTGAAAAAAATCCACCAAGATTTTTCACTGAAAGATCCAAACCAATGATCAAAGAGGAATTTTCGTTGCATTTTACACCAGACCAAGAACATGCAAATATTTTATCAGTAGGACTAGTGACTCCAGAATCAGAAGGCAAGATCCAGTCACTTATACTGTTTGAATGATCAAGAATTTCAGATTTTAAGCTCAAGAGTGCTTCTGTAAAAGGATCAACAGCTAAAACTGGGACACAAATTAGAGAAAGGAAAATCAAGAAAGTAGTAGTAGTGATGTACAAAGGCTGATAAAGTATCCCCATTGGGACTTGCATTAGTAGTAGAAGTGAAGAATAAGGGAAAGAAGAAGAAAAAAACCAACACTACGAAAATAACCAAAACTGTGTCACAGCTTATGTTATACTCTAGTACTAGTATTCCACAAGTTTTTTTTTGTTGCATTGGGACTAGAGAATGATTGATAAAAGAGGAGAATGAATTAAATTAAATTTTCATTAAGGGGCAAGTAAGGACACAACGGTACACTAAGTTTCTGCTATGCGCGAAGCAGGGTCTAAGAAAGGGCCGGACAACAAGTATCTATGGAAATAATACGTAGTCTTACCATATATTTCTGCAAGATATTATTTTCACGGTTCGAACTCATGACCTTCTAATAATATGACAGCAATTTTATCAGTTATGCCAACACTCTTTCTTAATTTTTATTTTTATTAAGGGGTGATTAGTTGAAATGAGAATATGATTGAGTTTGCTTTTTGAGAAACAAATAGGGGACCATTTGAGGGAATAATTTAGTTTATTAGAATTGTGTTTGCCATTAAAGAATAAATTGAAGAACTTTTTCCTGTACGTGGGCATCTTTTTATCTACCTTTTTATTAATTCATCCAAATCCATGCACAAACGGTTATTAATCCAACTTTTCTTGGAATTTTGCGGTGCAATTATTTTGGTCAATAACTGAGAAAATAGTAAAACACTATTTTTGAGGTAATTAATGATGTGACACTCAAACAAAAGGTTTCTTGGTTTTTGAATATTAAAACTTTTTATGTACTTCATTACTTACAAGTTGTGAGTTGTCCATAAACTAGATAAATCACAAAGGTCAATGCTAAGAAAGGGTAATTTTGGAATGACAACGTTCAACTCACATAGGTGTATTAACTTATGCTCCCTCCCTCCGTCTCATATTATCTATTCGTGATTTTAAAAAATAATTATCTTAAACTATTTATCAATTTAGATAAGATGAAATTAATTATTTTTGCTCATTTTACCCTTAGTAGTAATTGTTCATGAAAATGAAGATGACTCATAAATAAAATAAATATTTAATGAACATAGAATATATTTTAAAACATAAATAAATATAAAATAGTCAAAAATCCCTTCTAATTAATATTTTTTAAGGGTCTTGTAAAAGAAAAATATGATAAATAATTTGAGATGGAAGGAGTATAGATTAGAGGGTAACGAAATTTTGGATTACTGAATAGTTTATTAGCTGTAAAAGATTATTTTGTTTCCTCATAATATTAATATATAATTGCTATAAATAATTATTAGTAGTTGACTTTAGGTGGTATAAGATGAGCTTAAAATAAATTGACATAGTTAGTGAGAATTTATATTGTTCGAAGCGTGGCTATTGTTGTCGCGGACTCTTAAAAGGAGTACTATATAAAGCTCAAGGATATGGCTAAATGTGTTATGAATTTGGTGAAACCAATTCTACATTCCAGTAGAAAAAATAAGGTCGTAAATGATTTTTTCTCGTCGACATTTTAATAGTTAGTTATTCAATATCAATATATAATTAGAGACGAATGAGTCGATAAAGATGTGCAAAAACTAACTCAAGTATATATAAAGAAAGAGAGTGTGGTAAAGCTATATATATATATATATATATATATATATGTGACATTGTTGTCATGATTGTTATGCATTAATTATTTGCGGACTTAGCAACTTAGTAATAATTGTTATTCAAGAACATAATTAGTAGTACTATTAAGGAATATATGCAATGATTACTAGGTCATACCTAGATCAAACCTAGTTCCTTTAATTTGTTCTCTTTTGTTTTAAATCTTGCTTCCTCCAATGGGTTACAAATGATAATTTTTTTAATTTATAGTTTTCTGTTATCATGCACTCATTTTAAGATTCGATTCATTTGTATTTGCAAGGCTTAATAAATGAAAAATGCTCTTCACCAGAATTTTTTTCATTTCTAGAATTCAAATCCGAAATTTTTAGTTAAAAGTGAAAGAATTTTATTCATGTCACTACAATATTTTTTCTTTTCTTCATATTTTAACAAGGAAAGAGAAGAGGCTAAACTATAGGTTATAAATGGTGAGGAAACCATTGCAATTGAACTTGTGACACTAAACTTCAAATTGTGACATTGACTACTGAAGTATCTCAGCAACAACGACATTGTGCTTTTCTGTGCTTGTGTTTTTTCCTACGTTTTAAGTGAAATTGGATATTTATCGATAATTATATAATTTCACATAAAAATATATTCTTTTACACACATAAAACGAAAACGTGAGACGAAATTCCTACTCATATATATCCACTTGCAAGTAGAGGTGTTCATCAATCAGTTCAATGTAATTTTAACACAATTCGGTTCAATTTTTTAATTATTTTTTAAAATTATAAATTGAAATTGTAATAATTTTCAGTTATAAAATTTTAACTTTTTCCTGAATAAAAGTATATATGTCCAAATAATTCAACTTTCAATTCAATTTATATTTATATTTTTTAACGTCAATCAAATAATATTCAGGGGCCAATCGGCATATGCAGTCTACCGATTACGGGTTAATTTGAACTTATAAATTTCGATAATGGAGTATAAATATATATGTAAACTTAGTAAAATCTTAACAAATATTATAATTGAGCCCATAATTTTAATAGTAAAATAAGTTTAATGCTGAAAATTTTAAAAATTAAACACATTAAATTTAAATCTTGAGTCTGACTCTCATAACATCCGTAACGGATTCATTTAATGAATCATGAACATGCTTGCTTACAAGAAACTAAAATGGAACACGAGGGATAGCAAAGAGGGAGGTCAAAAGAGTGAGTAAAAAAGGATTACAATTATGACAAAAGCAACTCTCTTTCCCCACTTGCTTTCAAAAAATAGTTATTCTCATGCCTTTATCCTTTCGTGTCATTGAAGCTATGTGTAATACTCTCCGATCCATATTTAGTTTTTGATATATCCCCTAAGAAAATCCGAACTCTTAGAGAAAAAAAATATATTCATAAAATTACTTTTAATTAATTGTTACTTTGACATATTGGGATATGTAAATAAGGATAAATTTTGAAAAGATAAAATTAATTTTTTCTTGATTATGTAAAAAAACACTTATTTTGGACCAAAATAAAAAGGCCAAAAAATCAATTATTATGGACAGAAGAGAGTATTACTTTTTTTTCTCGAATATTCGGTATTCGCTTTGGGATTTTGATTAAATCTAATTCGTGCCATGCAAGGTTTATTAAAAAGAAATGCTTCATACCAAATCCCGAAGTCAAAATATTTAATTAAGGATGAATAAATCTTTTCTATCTTCTCTCTAAGATAGTGCCTAGATCATTATGCCTTTCGTGCATGTCGAAACTTACTCGACAAAAAAATTTGCTACCTTATGGTTGTTATAGTTACGGTCGCCGTTCATCAAAAGTTTCGTCGCCAACTCTTTTATTATCATGTCACCAACTTTCTTGACCTTCCGGCGCTGAGTAGCTTCCATACATGATCTTACGAGTTTGCGGATTATACAAAAACTAAAGACCCTCGAGATTACCCTTTGGACCTTGCCATGCATGCATTGATGTTGACCACTGCATGCTACTTTGTGACCCTTTTACATTAATTGCTCTACTATTTGACCCTACTGCCCTACTACGTAGGGTTAGTTAAGTAAGCCACTGCCTATGTTTTTTCTGAATTAAGAAAAGAGGAAAAGTTTGTGGAAAAAGAAAAATGATAAATATTTATTAATCTTTTAGACAAGTTTAATTAATTATTATGCTCAATTAGAAGTGAAATATATGAGTTTTTGTTATATTTGATCACAATTAAACTACTTTTAAACTAAAAAGAAACTACTAGTATTATAGTAGGTGTCAATCTACCATAACTATTCTTCTTTATCCAGATTTGAAATGGAACTTAGACGTGGAGGTAATTAGTGAAATAAAATATAACCTGATTATCACCTGTAGGTTAATTGGAATAATTCTATATAAAGCAAAGTTAAATAATTAATCTATATAAAATTCTTTAATTAGTAAAATTTTGTTACATCTAAAAAATTCTGTGACAAATGGAATATCTTATTTAACTATTTTTTGACCTTCGAGACTATGGGTCACCAGAAATTACGCCGCTTTTAAATGCCAAAGCCATTTTAATATGATATAATTTGTCGTGATTTTTCATACAGTAAAAGTCAATTTTTTTGAAGTAAATTATTTCTCTTTTCCCTATAAAAGAAGAGAAGGTTTAGAGAGGAGAAGAAAACAAAGTTACTTTTGGAGTGACAAAATACAAGCCATAGTTAGAGAAGGTGGTTTTAAATAATCCAAAAATATTTGCGTATAATAGGACAAGAAAAAGGAACCTCTTTTTTTGTATACATCAATTACATGCAATTGCACTCGAAATTGGTGAGGAGTTTGTCATTATTATTCACAGTATCTATAGAGTTCTGAATTGCATTTACTGAATGTGTACATTTTTCACGGGTTCTATACACAATTTGATGTACGAAATTAGAAGAAAGAATTGTTACTTTCAAGCGTGAACCAGGTCGGGCGGACACATGCGGATTAGTGTCCGAGCCAATTATTCAATTCGGCCGCGCAAATACTTAGTTAGACTCCTTAACCTTGATAAGAAAGTGATTATTTCATTGCTTTTTTCCCAATTGAAAATTTTGTATGAATTAGGGAACGAAGGTGGATTAATAATGTGAAGTTTATGTATTTTTATAGCGTTTTTAAGTTCATACATAATAATAATTAAATTTATGATCAAATATTTAATAGAATTTCTTTTAATATATACTGATATGAGATCTTAACAAAAGCTACTTGTTTGACAAAAAAATATAGATCTTTGTTCAAATAATTAAATTTATATAAATAGGGGTTAATCTTAGCTAACAATAATATCCCTAGATGGAGTTCTTAAATAAGCAACAGATACTACATAGATACCGCCGGACAGTGACAGAGGCATACAATAAATATTCTAGAAATCATAGGCAATAATGTAGCATTCAATATCAGTGAATAGAAATAAATGACATTTAAGAAAATATAATGAATGAGTCACCCAAGAAAAGATGGAATAAGTGGATGTTCTTTCTCACAATGATAAATGATAGGCAATCCCTTG